ATTGTTGATGGGCACGTTCTAGATTTGCACAATCATCAGACATCCAATTCAAAAAACCCCCAATAATCGGCGCCTCTAGTGTAGATTTGACTACGGCAAACTTTTAATGATCCTCTTCCTCATCGTCATGCTACTTATTCGCAATGTCAACGTCCGCTGGTTTCGATATCGCTAGCTGCTACCATTACTCACTCATACGCCGCTCCCAGTGCACTCTTTAGTATTGGGCGCCCGCCACTCCCAACTAAAAAACATCATCAACTGGATTTTTCCTTTTTTGTTCTGTCTAACGTTCTTCAAACGCTCACTGGAGAGGCGTTGTTACCAGCTTCCATTAAGATTCCCGCTCTAAGCGCGCTCTTCGGAGATGTGCACTCATCACAATTAAAGCAACAACGGCATCAGCTGGATTTGTCGTTGTCTATTTCGTGCGGCGTCTGTCAAACGCTCTCTGGAGAGCTGCTCTCATCATATTTCATCAAGATTTCCGCTCTAAGCGCGCTCTTCGGAGTTGTGCGCTCATCACCGTCAAACAAACAACAACGTGAGCTGGAGTTGTCGTTGTCTGTTTTGCGCGACATTCGTCAAACGCTGATCGATGAGGCGCTCTCATCATATTCCATCACGCTTCTCCCTCTAAGTGCGCTCTTTGGGGATGTGCATGCATCACAATCAAAGCAACAACAACATCAGCTTGAGTTGTAGCTGTCTGTTTCGCACGACGATCGTCAAACGCTCTCTGGAGAGCTGCTCTCATCATATTTCATCAAAATGCCCGCTCTAAGTGCGCTCGTCGGAGTTCTGCGCTTATCACAATTGAACCAACAACAACGTCAGCTGGAGTTGTCGTTGTCTGATTTGTGTTACATTCGTCTAATGCTCACAAAAACCCAACGGCTGGAGCTTTCAAAATTTGAATTGAGTGATACTCGTGATCAAAGTATCATTTCCTTATTAACGCGCTCCCTTCTGACGCTACGAAATGGCTTGGATTTCTCATCGACTGCTTTATGTGGCTCTTCCCGATGGCAGCATCAACAACAACATTTTCCATCTCACCTCAACTTGGATAGATATGCTCTGTTAACGGCGACATTGCCATCGCTCTTAAGAACTAGTTTCCCTTTACTAAAAGTATCTAGCAAACTTCAGGAATGCATCAATCCTAGTCTGCATGATAAAATTCGTATTAAAAACACTAAATTACTGAAGGCGATCTGCGGGCCTACCATATTGGGAACGCAAGAACAAATACTTCCTAGGGCATTGGACTATGATGCCCAAAATGCGAATCCGGAGATTGTTGATCGTGCTATTGTGAGTACGGGCCCACTAAAAATTTATTTTCAAAACATCTCCGGAATGCGAACAAGACCGGAGCAAGTATACCTTGCCACATCCCAATGCGAGTTTGATGTTATAGTTTTAGTTGAAACTTGGCTCAACATAAACTTTTACTCAAATGAATTCTCCGACTCCAATTTGTACCATGAGTTCTGCAAAGACAGAGATAGCACGAAAACCCACTGTGCTAGAGGGGGTGGTGTAATTGTTGCTGTTCGCTGCAATTTGCGCTGCTTGAATGCGCTGCAAATTGTGGTGTCATACATACCACGGAATGGTTCATATAAACTTTACAAGGATCATCTGGAAAACATTACCGACTTCTACAATAATCTGCAGGACCATCATCATATCTGTGTGATTGGAGACTTTAATATATCATCCCTCGTTTGGTCTCAGGATCCAGAGCATCACTCTTCACTGCCAAGCAATATACATCAACCATACAAGATTCTTTTCATCGATGATATATTCAGTATGGGCTACAAGTCAATAATATATTTAATAACTAACATAAAATTTTTGACTTAGTATTCGTTAGCGCTGATGAAAACTTTTCTTTAGTCCAATATAATTCACCTATAAGGAATTGTGACATTAATTATAGACCATTGCTACTAGGTATAAACATTTACAGTTTTGCGCCTTCAGCTGAATATTCACCTAGATTTATTTTCAATGAAACCAGCCTTTGTACCATCAGAAATGAGATCTCTGCCATTAACTGGGAGTCAGTTTTATCACATGTCATTTTGGAGTCGTGTTATCAAACTTTTTTAGTTGTTATTTTAAACATCATTAAGAACAATGCTCGAGAAAGGGTCCACAATTCTTTTCAGTTGCCATGGTATACGAAAGGTTTGAAAAAGCTTAAAAATCTTCGAAATAAATTCTATAAAAGGTTTTTAGTTACACAGGATCCTGGTGATTGGAATAGACACTTGCAGTACAAACGAGAATTTGAATTTCTAAATAACTTTCTTTACAATCAGTAGGCTAAAAAGTAATCCCAACTCTTTTTGGCGATTCATCAATTCGAAGAAGAACGCTTCTTCAGTCCCATCTGCTATGTTCCTAGGGAATTAATTTTCCAATTCAAATACAGAAACTGCAAATCTCTTTGCCTCTTATTTTAAAGCTAATTCTGAGCCAACATCAGCCTGGAATGATTCTCAAACCTTAAATGCGATTACTTCTCTATTGAATTTAGGTAGTTTAACCGTGCTAGAAGAGAACATTCATAGGGCTGTGGAACACGTTGATGATTCTTACACTCCGGACTTCGATGGGATTCCGGCCTACCTTCAGAAGTTCGCATCCGTGACTCCCATTTCAAAATCAGGGCCGAAGAATAACATTGCCAATTACAACAGTTTACAAAAAAAAATCGATGAAATACGCCTTCAAGGAAACCTTTGTTTTCCGGTAAGGTACATCTCCCTGATTAAGAAAAGGGCACCCAAAATTGTTTCTATGGTACCAATTTTTTTTAGTGTAAAAAACTTTTTTCGCACTATTTTATTTTCAAACTTGAGTTCTAATAAATCGAATTCGGACATCAAAGACTCATTTTACAGGTAATAGAATGCCCTTTCTTATACACATCATTGAGTTCCACTCATGAGTTTAGAAGGTACACTTTGTCAAAGTTGAAAAAGTTATAAATAATGCAAAACGCTGTACAGATTTTTAAACGTATATACCCAAGTTCAGTATTCGGGAGCAGCGGCCGTTAGACACCATTTTAAGTTTTCAGTGTTGGGGAACGTAAGAATTTGGTGCAAGTTGTTATGCATAACGTCAGACTCCTTGCTATCATATATTTTTATACCCGTTACTCGTAGAGTAAAAGGGTATACTAGATTCGTCGGAAAGTATGTAACAGACAGAAGGAAGCGTTTCCGACCCCACAAAGTATATATATTCTTGATCAGGATCACTAGCCGAGTCGATCTAGCCATGTCCGTCTGTCCGTCTGTCTGTCCGTACTCGCTATAGTCGAGTACCCCGACTATCAGATACCCGTTACTTAGCTAAAGGGACCGAAGGCAAATGGAGATATTCAAGCAGCAAAGCGAGATTAAAATGCGCCACCTACCGGCGGATCAATCGATAGGTATTGACGAGAACAATACATTTTAGTTAAAATTTTTGATCTAGCATGAAAATTGTGTGCGTCACAGGCTTAGGCGGTTTGTGGGCGTTAAAGTGAGCCAATCGATAGGTTTTGATGAGAACAATACATTTCAGTTAAAATTTTTATTCTAGCATCAAAACTGTAGGAGCCACAGTTTTGGGAGGTTTGTGGGCGTTAGAGTGGGCGTGGCACATTGCTGAAACAAACTTTCGCTGCGTAAGAAGCTCACTAATCTGCACGCCAAATCTCAATAGCCTAGCTCTTATAGTTTGGGGCCGTCCATAAGCCACGTGGACAGTTTTGGGGGGAGGGGGGGTCGTCAAAAGTCCACGATTTTCCACGAGGAGGGGAGGGGGGTCGAGGTAAATGTCCACGTGGACATAGTAAAAATTTAATTTTAACCTTTATGTTATTTATTCCACTTTTAAATTTCGCGCCACTGTATATTATACAGCGCTGCGCAGATCATTCGATATATTTATTAAATTCGTTCTATATTTATCGACTGAATTCCGAATAAGTAAATACAACGGCCGGCCGGCAGGTCCACACGTGTAGAATCATAACAAACCCGTGTCGATGAATTATATTTAGCTTATAAAAGCAATCATCCATTTAAAAGTGCTGCTTTATGCCAAAAAGAAAGCAATGTGTTGTGGAAAGAAGCTAAATCAAAATTCAGTAAAAGTGATAGTGAATTTTATGCTGAGATTAGAAAATTAATAGAAAATTTTCAAATTAAATCTACACTGAAAAAAACTGGATTTTTAAATTTCTTCATCAAGGTAAGTTTCTTATGCAAGGTTAAAGTATCAAAAAATTTTTTTTTATTTACTTCTATACACCAATTCCTTGCTTTGCGTCGGGGATACGTTCCAAAAAAATACGACGCAAAGTGTACATATTATACATATAAAAACAAACATCAAGCAAGCAAATTAAATAAATGAGCCGAAAAAAAGGGGAATTCCCGCGTTTTAATTGCGTAGCGCAATTATTTGTTATTTGCAATGAAGATATAAATAATAATAAAAATTTCTGCTTTCATAGACTGGTGAGAGTTCAAAAACCTCTCGTGACCCGCTTTCCAGTTCTTCACCTTCCACAATAAACAAATCACTGCATTGGAAGAAAAATTAAGAACATCGAAAAAACTTCTGTCGAGAAAAAAAAAAAGGCAAATCACGAAAAAAAATATAGACTTCAAAAAAAGACGACAATTAAAAAATTGATTGCAAATAATCCAACTTTATCTCAACAATTGAAGTAGAGGTTTACGCCGATGGTTTCAGCAGCGGCGGCGGCGTAGAGTTCTAAATTACCCAGCGGCGGCGGCGTAGCCGTTAGAAAGAACCGGCGGCGGCGGCGGGTACGCCGCCGGTGAAATTGTCGGCGGCTGGCGGCGTAAGCATTTAATAAACTGATTTTTTTTTCCTTTTATTAATAAGTGAGTCAAGCGAAATAACAAATTAAACTAAAACTAAATAAGAGTCTTTTCTTGACTTGATAATTAATAAGTGATGATTGAATTTTAGCACTGAAACAATTTAAAAAATATAATTTTGAACTTGAAATAATAAATTTAATTGTTACCATGAAAAGATTGTTGTTTCGTCTTCTTTTTTCTGTTCATCCAAACACAATTTGCAAAAAACCTTGTCTTCTTCGATGAACTTGTTTTCTTCTTTCGCTTGCAAGACACCAAAAAACTCCCACACTTTACTTTTACGACTTGCGTTGCGCTGTAGTTCAATTGAATACATGTTCAATGCCTTATCCATCTGTTTGTTGGGATATTTAATTCTTATACATAATTCTTAATCCAATTATAACACTGTAAAACTTACTTCGTGAAATTAATTACGCACTCAGCTGTTAAATGTTTTAGAGATGGGACACATGTAAGGAGATGGGAGATGAGACATTTAATCGATAACTGAAAGCGATTATTGTCGAAAATTTTTTTAGGATATATTAATAATAACCTTTTTTATTTATAAAATGAATAAAAATTTGTATGACGCCGAACGCCGCCGCCGCCGCCGCCGCCGCCGCCGCGCCGGTTTTTACGTGACTCGGCGGCGGCGCATCAAAAAAGCAAAAAATCGGCGGCGGCGGCGGCGTGGCTCGGCGGCGTATATGTCTAAATTGAAGGTATCTTTGATTTTTGTTGATGATTTTCGATTAGTATTATATATAAACTAAAATATTATAAATATAGTAAAGATAAATAAGATTTGACATGATAAATAATTATTAATTGATTTCTCTTAATTATTCAACGTCGGATAAAAATTAATTAAAAAGAAATAATAATAAATGAAGAAAATGTGCAAGTTATGAACATTCTACTGAAAATTACAATTATTTTCATTAAATACTTTAGGTGCGAGAGAAAATAGGACGTCCACGTTTGGAAGAGGACTAACATGAGTTGCTAAAGACTATTATGGACATTGCATTAATCGTTCGATTAAAACTTTGACTCAGCTTCAGGACGAGATGATCATAATGGGCTATCTTTTATCGCGCAGTGCTACTTATTTACGTCTCATACCACGAGATTCTCGAACGAGCGATGGAAAACGTCACCTTGTTACTGAGCCGGTGAAATTATGTCGTGCGAATACAAATCACCATAAAGATCATCCAGATGGAAAGTTTTGCGTTGCGAGCATTAGGTAAATGATTCAGTTCTTCCTAATATTTATACCCGTTACTCGTAGAGTAAAAGGGTATACTAAATTCGTCGGAAAGTATGTAACAGGCAGAAGGAAGCGGTTCCGACCCCACAAAGTATATATATTCTTGATCAGGATCACTAGCCGAGTCGATCTAGCCAGGTCCGTCTGTCTGTCCGTCCGGATGAACGCTGAGATCTCGGAAACTATAAGAGCTAGGCTATTGGGACTTGGCATGCAGATTCCTGAGCTTCTTACGCAGCGCAAGTTTGTTTCAGCAGAGTGCCACGCCTACTCGTACGCCCACAAACCGCCCAAAACTGTGGCTCCTACAGTTTTGATGCTAGAATAAACATTTTAACTGAAAATTTTAACTGAAAATTTTGCCACGCCCACTTTAACGCCCACAAACCGCGAAAACCTGTGACGCCCATAATTTTCATGCTAGATAAAAAATTTTAATTGAAATGTATTGGTCTCGTCAATACCTATCGATTGATCCAATAAAAAATTTGCCACGCCCACTCTAACGCCCATAACGCTTATATCTGTATACCGCCGGTAGGTGGCGCATTTTAATCTCGCTTTGCTGCTTGCATATCTCTATTTAGCTGAGTAACGGGTATCTGATAGTCAAGGTACTCGACTATAGCGTTCTTCCTTGTTTTTATTTCTTTATGTTCATAATTACTGTGCTTATGATATTTGATTACTCTAATCATTTAATAAAAATTGAACTTTACGATACTTACTTTTCAAGATAATTTTAGTCGTATACTAATTTTTTAAATTCATTTCTAGATCTGTTGAATCGCTTTTGTCACTTCTCGGACCAAAACAAGCGGCATTGATTTCGCAGGATGACAAGGCTCGCGTTCCAATTGGCGTTACGGCTCTCCAAAAACAAGGACCACTACTCATGCATGTAGAATATAAGATCACACTTCCAGATCATGATTGGGTAGTTGCCGAACGTCACAAGCTGATTCCAGGCGTGTATGCGGGCATTGTCATCCGCGAAGCCAAACTTGATGGTTCACCATCAAATGTTTCATACTCTGGACCAACATATGTAGCGATTCGAAGCGGAAAACATTCGTCAACATCAGCTTCCAGTCATGCTTTCGACCTCCGAAAACTAATGGCTTTGCAAGAATTCGATGATTTATTGAAAGGTAATTAGGTAATATAAAGTATTAAACAGGACAGTTTGAAATAATGATTAAATTTTCAGTTATATTAATTAATAATAATTAATTAATCGTGAAGCCCGTGCTCGCCTTGTCTGTGGATAGGGGTCGGAAACGCTTCCTTCTGCCTGTTACATACTTTCCGACGAATCTAGTATACCCATTTACTCTACGAGTAACGGGTATAACTAATTCTGGTTTTTGAGCGTGTATTTTAAAAGATGCCAACTTTGACGAAGTGTAAGCTTCTAAACTAATTAATGAAACTCTATGCTGTGTATAAGAAAGTTAAAGGACGTTCTATATCCTGTAAAATAAGTCGTTGATGACTTCATTCGGTTTATCAGAACTCGATTTAGAAAAAAAAAGTGCGAAAAACGTTTTTTACACTTTAAAAAAAATTGGTACCATAGAACAAATTTTAAGTGCCCATTTCTTAATCAAGGAGATGTACATACCTTATCGGAAAACAAAGGTTTCCTTGAAGGCGTATTTCATCGATTTCCTTTTGTAAACTGGTGTTACAGGTGTAGTATGCATGTATCATGGTAGCGAGTACCCACTGTACCAACACCAACATTGTGTTACAGTGTACTTAAACAAATACAAAAGTGCCGGCCGCTAAACTTTTGCGGCCAGCCGAAATATGAATACGCCTCAGAGCCCAACTTATGGGAAGTGCTAGTGTCAGCATATTCCCATGGCCTGAGTGCAGACACATACAAGGCATGCATGTACAACTTCTCTCGCGCTCTCAGTGCTACCAGCACAAATGCAATTGCGAGCATATACTTCGATATATACATATATGACGGCCGCTGCCAACGTTTGCAGGCAGCGCAGCCGCAAATAGCTAGCTGTAAGTCATTCATATTTTGACGATTCCCAAATAAAGATCTGCCCATGGCAGTTGAAACAAATTACAAATCTTTCAATTAAAATATCATAATGGCAAACATAATGGGAAACACAACATGGCGACCGTGACAGGGCATTGGACTCAAAAATAAAAACACAAAACATAAAAACACAAATAAACGCGAGGAAAGTTATAAGCGATTGCCGCCACATCCATTTGTGTGAAAGAGTGCAAGCGAAAATGTTTACGTGAAACAACGTGTCCCTAGTATGACAAAAATTAGATATTCTATCTAATGAGACGAGTACAAACAAAAGTGGAGACCAAAAAGAGGAAGAGCAAGCGCCCACTATTTAAATGAAAGCAATCACCGCATGTGCGAGGACCAGCACCGGCACCGCCTAAAACCATAGGCCAAGGACTACAAAAGGATAAGAAGTGTGGGAGGAATGGCAAATCCACCTACACCTACGATGGAAATCAAACAAGTATAAACGAAGACCTACACCACCGAACTTACCGGCCCCGTTCGGCGCTCCAAGCCGGACCCTGGAGAAGTGAGCCGACAGCGCTTCCAAGAGCGCACATCTTAAATTTTTATACCCGTTACTCGAAACTATGAGAGCTAGGCTATTGAGATTTGGCGTACAGATTCCTGAGCTTCTTACGCAGCGCAAGTTTGTTACGCAAATATGCCACGCCCACTCTAACGCCCATAACGCTTAAATCTGTCTTCCGCCGGTAGGTGGCGCATTTAGATCTCGCTTTGCTGTTTGCATATCTCCATTTTCCGTTGGTCCCTTTAGCTGAGTAACGGGTATCTGATAGTCGAGGTACTCGACTATAGCGTTCTCCCTTGTTTTTCCTATTTTTCTTTCCTTTCTTCTATTAGGGAAGTCTAAGAATGTTTTGCATTTTTCTTTTATTTACAGAAAATTAAACGAATTTAAATTCTAAATAATTTACTTATTTACTAGGTTTCTTATTAAATTATTTGAATTAAATTTTAAAGTAAAACAATTAATTAAATTTTTTAATAACAAATTAAATATCCGTTAAAAAATTTAAATTTATAAAAACTTAAGAAACGAATAAAAGATGAGGGGAATGTCAAGAAGCAATTTACACCGTTTGGTGATAAAACAAAAGGAAGAGCTTCTGCGATCGGCCGCTTTAGCTCTACCTGTCAATATAGAAAATGATTCTGACAATGTATACCCCTCTGAAATTGTTACCGATTTGAATTACAGTGCATCAAGTTATTCCCTTAATAACAATACAGAATTAAACAATGCATTTTTAGAAAATGAAGAAAAACCAAGTCAACGGCAAAAATTATTAGACTGGTACCATAACAATAATGTTACTAGGGATCAACTTGATGCACTGCTAAAAATTTTAGAATCGGAAAACCTAGATGTTCCTCTGTCGGCTAATGGTCTTTTAAATTTAAATTTACCAAAAGCGGTTATCCGCACTGTAAGACCGGGTCACTACACTCACATTGGCATTCGGAATTATTTGGAATTCATTAAAAACAAATTGCCAGATAATTCTGAAATAATATTAGATGTCAATGTAGACGGATTAGCGCTTTTTAAAAGTTCCAATACCAGTGTTTGTGGGGAAGACAACAAATATGCCACCCTTATATTTATAATTAATAACGCACGAATAGGTTATATTAAAATGTATAGCGTTTATTCGGAGCGGCAGACGGACTGTGAATGTGTAAAAAGCTTGGCTCCAAGATCTTCATATAGACATATGCAGGCTTACAAAGTAGTTGCTGAATAGATAAGCGACAGCTTTATGGGTATAAGAAAGAAGGCGAAAGATAAGCAGAGAGCGATGCAGGTGCCGTCGTACACCTATGCGCGCATGACTAGGCGCTGGCGATCTGCTCCGAACATACTCCCCCCGTTGGAAGAGGTAAGGTTCCAACTATCTCGGAATCGATGGGCAGAACGGCTAGCTTGGCGACGGCTCTCTTGATCAGACCCGTAGCTGTACGGACCATAGCTACTCTGATGACTCCGTCCCCGCCGGGTATGACTTCTTGGATGCACCCAAGCTGCCATCTCAAGGGTGGAACGTTGTCCTCCTTAAGCAAAACTATGCGTCCAACCTTGATGTTAGACGTTTCGACGCGCCACTTGCTCCTCTCTTGAAGTAGGGACAAATACTCGCTGCTCCACCTTTTCCAGAAATGTTGCTGCATCTGGGTAACCCGCTGCCATCTGCTGAGGCGGTCTTCGCGGAGATGAGTAATGCCAGGCTCAGGAAACTTAGTGTAGCTGGAACCCTTCAGGAAATGCGCCGGTGTTAGCACCTCAAGGCTTTCAGCATTTTCTGAAATTGGACAGAGTGGACGGGAGTTAAGGATGGCAGAAATCTCATATGCAAGAGTTCTTAATTCATCGATGGCTAAGATGGATGCACCGACGACTCTGTAGAAGTGAAATTTAGCTGACTTCACAGCGGCCTCCCATAAACCACCGAAGTGCGGGGCACGCGGAGGGATGAACTTCCAATCGATCCCATCAGCTAAACAGACGGAAGATATCGATGCTGTGTGTTGCTCGCTCAAAAAGAGCTCTTTCAGCTCGGCAAGCTCTCTCTTTGCACCGACAAAGTTTGTAGCATTGTCGCTCCAAATGGTACGCGGACTGCCTCTAAGGCTGATGAATCTCCTCAGCGCTGCGATGAAAGAATCCGTCGTGAGATCCTGGACCACTTCCAAATGAGCAGCCTTCGTGGAAAAACAGACAAAGACGGCGATATAGCACTTGTGGGGTGCCTTATTTCTGGCCTCTGCTTTATGATAGAATGGCCCACAATAGTCCACTCCTGTGGTATGAAAAGCTGGATTAGGCTGCACTCTATTTGCTGGAAGACTACCCATGACGTGCTCCCAAGTAACAGGCTTCATTCGGAAACATCGGACGCATTTGTTGATAACGCTGGCGACGAACTTGCGGCCTCCAATCGGCCAGTACCTTTGCCGTAATGCGGCAAGCAGCGCCTGCGATCCTCCATGCAAATATTTCTCATGATAATGAACGATGATCGCCTTGGTGACTGGATGATCCTTGGGCAACAGTATCGGATGCCTCGTGTCGTAGTCCAAGTTTGCGTTCTGAAGCCTTCCACCCACGCGAAGTAACCCATCGGAGCCGAGTATAGGTCTAAGCGAAACCAGCTTGCTTTTCTGTGGAAACGGCTTGCCCTGGCTAAGAGATCCATACTCCTTCGCCAAGTTAACCTGTTGGATGCTCCTCAGAAGAAGTACAGTTCCAGAGTTGATCTCCTCCACCGAAAGTCGACCTTTTAACGGCGCAGATTTGGCTCTGCAATTTGAAATGAATCGATAAATGTATGCAAATACGCGCTGCAACTTATCGAAAGAGTTGAGGAATTTGCAGTTTGATGAACTGTCTATGCAAACGGCCCCAATTAGAGCCACAGAACGGCGCTCTGGAAGATCCTTCACTGAGTCTAGCAGGGACGGCCAATTTGACGAGCTTTGCAGAAGGAATGGAGGCCCGTTAGCCCAAAGGGAATGTTCCAACAATTCTCTTGGGGTACATCCTCGCGATACAACGTCTGCCGGGTTCAAGTTTGTAGGAACGTGATGCCAAGACATGTCTTTCGTCATCTCCTGAATTTTCGCGATTCTGTTTGATACGAAAACGTTAAACTCCCTCGGAGGTTGCCGAATCCACGCCAACACAATGGACGAGTCCGACCAGCAATGAAAGGTGCAATCGAAATCTATGGCTTCCTTGGCGTTTACGATTAGCTCAGCCAATAAAAGCGCTGCGGAAAGTTCTAATCTTGGGATTGTTAAGGCCTTCAATGGAGCTACCCTTGACTTGGCACAGAGCAGATGGACTTTCGATTCTCCATTGGTCTCCGATCGCAAGTATAGACACGCTCCATAAGCTGACATGCTAGCATCGCAGAATCCATGCAACTCAACGGAAGCCCTTGGTTGCAGTACGAATCGTGGGAATTTTAAGTTCTGTACGACCGATAACTGTGAGGTCAACTCCCCCCATGACGAAAGAATGGGCTCTGGCAGTGCATCATCCCAATCCACGTTCGCACTCCATAGAGATTGCAGAAAAATCTTAGATTTTGTGATAATAGGAGTTATTAAACCGAGTGGATCATAGAATTTGGCAATCGTCGACAATGCAACCCGCTTAGTGGGTCGTTGATTGATTGGCAGTTGAGAAAAATGAAATAGGAGCTGATCAGAAGATGGATCCCAGACTAGTCCCAATGCCTTGGCGACATCCGATCCATCGTGAAATTTGATTAACTGCTCCTTGTCGCATTCAGACTCTCCCTTCAGGGCTGCTGACTCATTCGAACACCATTTGCGAATTGGAAAGTGGCCTCGCGACAGTAATTCCTTCACCTGACGACGAATTTCTCTCACCTCCTCAACTGAGTCCCCACCAGATATTAAATCATCCACATAGAAATCTCTACGAACAATTTTTGCTCCAATAGGAAATGATTCCTCCTCATCGTAAGAGAGTTGATGCATGGCCCTTATAGCCAAGAAGGCAGCTGGCTTGGTTCCGTAAGTCACCGTGTTCAATTTAAAAACACTCAATTCTTTCCTGGAGCTCTCTCTCCAAACGATGCACTGCAAGAAATCATCCGGGTACGAAACACGCACGCAACGGTACATCTTGCAGATATCTCCACAAAGGGCAACTTTAAAAAATCGAAAGCGAAGCAGTATATTGAAGATTTTTTGTTGAATTGTTGGTCCTGCCAGAAGTAAGTCGTTCAGAGAGCTACCAGAAGTTGTTTTAGCAGATCCATCAAAAACGACACGAAGCTTCGTACTCGTGCTTTCCTGCTTATGTACGCAATGATGGGGCAAAAAGAATTGTGTTTCTGGCGGTTCCTTAGTTACAAGAGACATGTGACCTAGGTCGATATACTCCCTCAAAAATGCTGAATACTGAGCTTTCAGGGCTGGGTTTCTATCTAATTTAGCTTCCAAACTCTTGAAACGACGACGAGCCAAGCAATAAGAATCACCTAAAGATTCGAATCCGGAAGTGGTCAAGAGACGAACAGAGTATTGGCCGTTTCCAAGTCGAATGCAATTTTCAGTAAAAAGTTGCTCACATCGCAAGTCTTCCGGCAATAAAGATGGCTTAGACGAAGTGAAGTCCTCAATTTCCCAAAATCGCTTTACAATGGCGGAAAGTGTGTCATCGGAATAATCAGCTGGGTCCTTGATGCTGGCTTGTAAAACCGACTTATGAGTTGGCATGTTCGATGATAACCCTCCAGAGACTATCCAACCAAGCTTGGTGTTCTGAAGAGTTGGCAAAGCCCTATCCAAATGAATTTGTCCCATAGAAATTATTTCGAAAAACAACCCAGCGCCGAGTAAAAGGTCAATTCGTTGTGATTGATTGAAATTAGGGTCAGCGAGTGAAATGTTTTGCGGTATCCTCCACGATGTTGCATTTATATTGAAATGGGGTTGATAATCAGTAATACTGTGAGTCACAACCGCTGTGAATGCCGCTCGATAGCTTGCATCCCGTGATTGCACAAGAATATCGACAGTCTTATCAGAGATCATGGAAGATTCTCCTATCCCAGAAATCGACGTTTGCGATCTTCTGTGATTCAAGTTTAGTTGGCTGGCTAAGCGAGAGGTTATGAAGTTTAGCTGGGAGGCCGAATCTAAAATTGCTCGGCAAGGCATAAATGCTCCAATTCTATTTCTGACGTAGATAATAGCAGTTGGAAGCAACACGTAGTCGATCGGCAAAACATTTAAGGCTTTGGGTGGAGGGCTTGGTAAATGATGATCAGGATGCGATGATGTATGCGAACATGATACTAATGCTGATGAAGTAGATGGTAATGGCTGAGAGCTCGAGGATGGATCGCATGATGAAGATGAAAATGAGGTTGATGTTGCGGATGGGTCATGGTTCATGTGTAATAATGAATGATGCTTCATGCGACAATACTTGCAGTGAGTCGACTTGCATTGCTGCAAACTATGCCCCTTGCGCAAACAGTTGAGGCAAAGGTGCAACTTCTTTGCTTCTCTATATCGAAGATTCGGACTCAAATTTAAAAATCGAGGACACTTTGGCAAATAATGATCCCGTGCATCGCAAAATAAGCATGTCAAATGATTTGAGTTAGTAGCAGATGCAATAAGTGTATTTTGGTTATATTTGTGCAAGTTTTTTCCCACCTGTTGGCCTGGTGTTTGAGTTACCAAGGCTTGATCCAAGTTTTCCATCATCCTGCACCTCTTTTCCAAAAACGACTCCATAGCATCCCAGGTAGACAGCTCAGTGATGGACAAATCCTCTTCCCATTTTTCCCGCGTCCTCTGATCCAGTTTCCGAGTGACGATGTGAATTAAAAGTCCATCCAAAATTTGTTGCGTATTGGCCAGGGTTCGAATTGCTCGCAGATGCGAATTCATGCAATCGCTCAGCTCCCGAAGACCCTTCGAAGATCCCTTCTCGACACCCTTTAAACCGAATATTGCCTGAACATGTGCCTGAAAGTGTAAAACTTTATTATCAAATCGATTAACCAGCAAATTCATAGCCTTTTTAAAATTAGCATTCGAGGGTTCGAGCGATCGTATGGTTTCCAGAGCCACGCCGCCCAAACTCGAACGCAAATATTGTAATTTTTCAATGTCGCTTAGCTCATCATCATTTCCGATGACCGTAGTGAAAGTCGCAAAAAAATCCGGCCACTCAGAGTAGGATCCATGAAAACGAGCAATTTCCAAATTTGGCAACCGAGGCTTTCTAGATCGAAAAGAAAGATCCGCATTATTAGTGATGTCAATAGATGTTGAATTTGCAGCGGTTGAAGCCGGCAATTGTGACTTGCGATGAGCCGCCAAGCCTCGGCTTAGTTTCGCCTTCACATCCATGAAGACTTCAGCAAATTCAATCCGATGGTCGCTCGAGATCTCTGCAAAGTCCAGTCTTTCCAACGATGTCTGCGCAGAATCAAATGCCTGGTTTAAGGAATTGATCCATTCCATTCGCGCCAGCAAATCAGATTCGTCAAACTGATTAACCGCATCAGCGTTTAAATAGCATTTCATCGAGCTCATTTGCCGCAAAATAGATTGGGCTTTGACTCGGTAGTAGTCGACGTCACTTGTGGATTCATTTTGAGCCCGAACCGAGTTTTCCGTATCAGACATTTTTCAATCACGAAAAAGAAAAAAAAAGAAATGAAAATGAAGTAAAGTAAAATGTCCGACCGCGTTAGAGGCACAAAACACCGTATACCCTTTACCGCGAAAACGTGAAGGTTAACAAGCGTCGCCGAGATGCAACGGAACCTTTAACTTTGTTGTTGTTGTTCTTGCCGATAAATTGCCCGCCTAGCAACAGCGGATTATGTAACTGGCAAACGAATGTATGTATGGCTATATGTACATGTATATATGTAATATGCGCTATTAACAAAGATTAAATGCGATTCCCTTTGTTAAGAATTATTTGCACAACACAAATTTGGTGCTTTTTCACAGCGCAAAATGTACAAAAAATCAAACGGCCGGCTTTGCACTTTTATATGCACTTATGTATGTAAGTATGTTCGTATGTTTGTGCCCGAATGCACGATAACGACAGCGAAACAAAGCGTTTGTTTAAACTATATTAAACAATCGCGAAGCCGAGTTGCAGACTCCGATAAAAACTGCTATCACGTCGGGGTCACCAAATGTTTATGGGGAAGACAACAAATATGCCACCCTTATATTTATAATTAATAACGCACGAATAGGTTATATTAAAATGTATAGCTTTTATTCGGAGCGGCAGACGGACTGTGAATGTGTAAAAAGCTTGGCTCCAAGATCTTCATATAGACATATGCAGGCTTACAAAGTAGTTGCTGAATAGATAAGCGACAGCTTTATGGGTATAAGAAAGAAGGCGAAAGATAAGCAGAGAGCGATGCAGGTGCCGTCGTACACCTATGCGCGCATGACTAGGAGCTGGCGATCTGCTCCGAACAACCAGTTTGTGGCCAATTTTGGGACACTTTCCAAATATTCCCAGTAGTGATGTATTTTTGATCGGCTCTTATGTTGGCAGTCGAAAGCCTGCCAATGTAGATGATTATATGAGCGATTTCGTATCTGAACTGGTAAAAATGTCTGAGAGTCCTCTCCAAATTGGCGACAAAAATTTATCTTTAAAATTAACGCCTTTTTTTTTTTGGGTTTCGCGCGCGCAAAAAATTTTTGTAATCTAAACAATTTTTTAATCAACACAAATGCCTTACATGCCCAAGTATATTTCTTCTTGGTAAGATAAATCCTGTTAGTGTATTTATTATAATTTAACCTGCTAACGAATTTCTTTTCTTTTTATTTATTTTTCGTCTAGCCTTAAAAGGTGTGTATGTTTCTAACCTGTTAAATAGATATACTCACAATTTGAACCTACTTTTTGTTAATTTTGGCATCAATGGAAAGGTAATTTAAATGCTGTTTGAATGATATAATACTTTGCCCAACCCATTACCTTTCCATTGATGCCAAAATTAACAAAAAGTAAGTTTAAATTGTGGGTATATTTAACTTTTGTTTCGTCCTAATACTTATGCCGACTAGTGTACACTGAAAAAACAATTGAAACACTTTAAATTCAAATATATCGATATTTGTTTTCATTTTCTATCGTTTTACAGAGTACATAGTCTATTACACGCTTGCTATTACAATTATAAATGCAGTATTCAGTAAATTATATACTTCCTTGATCAGGATCACTATGCGAGTGAATCTACCCATCTCCGTTTGTCTGTTTGAACGCTGTAATCTCGGACACTATAAAAACTAGAACATTGAGTACTCCTATTAAGGTTCCTTAGCTTTCGATTTATCGAAAAATTGTTTTCCAAATTAGCTACTCACACTCTAACGCCCACAAAAATGTGTAAAGTGAAATTATAATATCAAGCAAAAACATCTCTTAACGAGGTTAAAATATAGTGACGATCTCTTCTACAGCAAACAAAAGTTCATATATCCACTTTTGTGACAAAAATGTATTATACGATCTACATAATAAATACGTTTTCTTAATATTTTTACATTAGCCACGCTTTATGAAAATTGTACAGCTAAACACAAGCATATTGAATAGCATCGTGGCTAATGTAAAAATATTAAGAAAACGTATTTATTATGTAGATCGTATAATAAATTTTTGTCACAAAAGTGGATATATGAACTTTTGTTTGCTGTAGAAGAGATCGTCACTATATTTTAACCTCGTTAAGAGATGTTTTTGCTTGATATGTTTTGTAGCTGCAATAGCAACGATCTGCAAGAGTGTACAAACTTCGGCTTTCCAAAATTAGCTGCCCTTCATAATTAACATAGTTTTCTAACATATTTCTTCTTTTTTTTTTTGAGAAAATGAGTTTCCAATTGCACGAAATGGAAAATGTGCCAACGCCGGTGGAGGAGAGTAGGTCTGGTGGCCTGGATGGGCGGATCCAACGCCTGAAAGTAGTCCACGCGATGAGCTCTGAGGTCAGCAAAATGAGTACGGATATGGCGGAGTTGAAGTCCGTGAACTCGGCCATTCTCGACTCCACGGCGCAAATGTTGGCTCTCTGGAGGAAAATGGCACCAGTAGAGCCAATCCTAAAGGCCGACTTCCCCATCCGGTCGATAGACCATTTAAAGGAGGTGGACGAAAAGATTTACGGGAAAATGGAAAAATACGTAAGTTTCCAAAATCGAAGCGTTCACGGACAGACTTTAACAGCAATAACAACTTACATTAAGATTCGGAAACAAACAACATTATATATTTCTTAAATCCAAAGTATACAACGCAATGTAGGAGAAGATAATTTTATGGGGCTGGAATCTTCTGGAATGCTGTCATTTACGACTGGGCAGTGCTACCAGCACAAATACAATTGTGAGCATATACTTCGATATATATATGACGGCCGCTGCCAATGTTTGCGCAGCCGCAAATAGCTAGCTGTAAGTCATTCATATTTGACGATTCCCAAATAAAGATCTGCTCATGGCAGTTGAAACAAATTACAAATCTTTCAATTAAAATATCATAATGGCAAACATAATTGGAAACACAACACAGGCCTCTAGCGAAGATCAGTAATATTGCTGAACTCTTCGAACGCATTGTTGCCCATAAATTATCATTTCTTATAAATACATATATAAGCACTTCTCAGCATGGTTTTTTTGAAGGTCGGTCAACTACGACTAATCTTGCCGTTTTCAGCAACTATTGCATTCATGCCTTTGATATGCGATCTCAGGTTGATGCTATTTACACTGATTTTGCAAAAGCCTTTGACAAAGTAAGCCACACTGGCAAAACTGGCCCGCTTGGGTATACATTCGGCATTACTAAATTGGATAAAATCATATTTACACCATCGTCTTTATAGAGTTAATATTAATGGAAAATTCTCGGATTTCTATTTGGCAACCTCTGGCTTCACTCAGGGGAGTGCTATGTGACCTCTGCTTTTCATTATTTTCATTAATGATGTGAGGTTCTGTCTATCTTCAGAGTGTCTCCTGTATGCAGATGATTTAAAAATTAGCGAGACTATGTCACTTACAGTAAATCCGTATACACTTTCGTCACATCCTATATCAATGGTCAACCTCTACAACTGCGGCAGGAATCCTTGGATCTAGGAGTGTTGTTTGACTCAAAATTTAAGTTTGCAGCACACTTCGATTACATCATGCCCAGGGCCTATGCTATGTTTTGATTTGTAAAACGGAAGGCATCACTATTCATGGATCCCTACACCAGACTTGCGCTTTATTTTGCATTTGTCCGATCTAAACTAGAATATGCGTCTCTTATTTGGAATCCCTTCACTTGCACTCATGGAAACAGAATAGAACGACTACAGAAACAATTTTTGAAATTCGCTTTGTTGTCGCTAAGGTTTTTAGACCCTACCCCTTCATACCACCAGCAATGTAGGCTTGTTCACCGACCATCCCTTGAGCATCGTAGAAGTATCCTCGCCATTTGCTTCATCTCTGATTTGGTGGATGGTAGTATCGACTGTCCAGAGCTACTCTCGAAAGTTAATTTTCACGCTCCGTCTAGACAACTTCGGAATTTGTATCTCTTTTTTCTCGAGCTGCGGCGGACAAATTATTCCCAAAATGAGCCCCTCTATAGGGCCTTATATGAGTCAAACGCACTTCCAATTGATATACAATTGAACTACTTTTCAAGTAAACCAATTCTTAAGCATAGGTTAGTCAATAATTTTGTAAATTTTAGTACGTAAGATAAGTTGTTGAATAGTACAAGTAGTCAGTAAAGGAATTACGTTGCCGAAATAAATAAATAAATAAATAAATATCAAGCTTAGATTCAAGAAAGTAGCTAATTTTAATAATATTCTTACAGGATATGTAGATTCCGATTAAGCTGGAAATGAAACTGACAGAAGAAGTACCACTGGGTATCTTTTTAAAATGTTTGAAAATTGTTTGGTTTCATGGAGTACCATGAAGCAAAAGTCGGTTGCTGCTTCATCTACTGAAGGTGTAAGAGAAGCTCTTTGGCTAAAATCACTAATAAATAAGATTAATCTAGAATTAAGTGGTCCTATAGATATTTTTGAACACAACCAAGGTTGTATAAGTATTGCAAATAATCCTACTTGACACAAGAGAACAAAGCACATATATATTAAATATCACTTTACAAGAGAGCAAATTAAAATGAAACTAATGTGTGTAAAGTTTATTCCCACAGATCTGCAACTAGTCGACATATTGACGAAGCCATCTGCACGGTTTATTTCCCTGAGAAACCAGCTGGGACTTTCTGAATAATCTAACTACGAACCTTGTGAACTGTTGCTGAAAATCCATCGCTTTTAGAAGCCAAACATGAAATGGATCTCATGAAATCTTTTGTGATTAATTTAAATTTCCATATTTACTAAGTCTAAAGTAATTGAATTGAATTCATATTCTTGTTTATTTTTTCAAATGGATCTCATGAAGTACTTGTAATTGATTTCAATTTTCATATTTAGTAATTATTCCTGTTTAATTATATAATTATTAAACATAATTATTTTTTTTTTTTTTTGTATGGATCTATTGTAGTTGGGTTTTACTGGGTTTCCCCAACTCTTGCAGCAAGTTCTGGATCTAATGTATCCCCAGAACTGAAGAAGAAAAGAAATGAAATGAAAAACAAATTAAAACTAAAAGCACAAACTCATGTCAAGAATTGAAGTGATAATCAATGTTACTTTTGAGGCGGCGTGTTGGAGTTTGCATGTCCAAACCCAAATTGTGGAATTGTGCAATTGAGTATAAGCGCCCAATCATCACGAAGCCGACTGCGACGTCGGCAGAGCAGGCAGGGACGCCGGCAGAGCCGAGTGCAACGGCGGCAAAGTGACGCGCTCTCAGTCGGGGTCCGCAAAGAGAACGCACAAAAAGGAATTTTGGGCTCTCCCTCTCTCGCCATGTCTCAGCCGGAAAAGTGCGTGTGAAGGGAAGGAGGCCCAGCAACTAAAATAACTAGACTTTTGTGCACCCTTGATATAACAACCAATTAAAATAACACGTTTGGGTTTTAAAATATTTGTATTTCTTAAATTTATGTGTTTATTAATATAATTTAATAATATGTGAAGTTTTAAAAATATATTTTTATAAACCGATTTGCATAGTCGAATATGTCTATAAATACCGTGCTTTTATGTGCAAGGTGCATAGACCAAACGGGACATGACAAAAAATCAGAGCAACAACGGATTAGCGGAACCGTTGTTGTTGTGGCTTGTTGTTTTTCTGGAAGGCACGCGCCTTTTTTCGTCTTTTTCACTTGCGTTTACTTAAGTGAAGAAGTTAGAAATTCAAGCAAAACTACAAGCAATTAACTTTGTTATATTTAATAAATCAGTGGCTTAAAAGTGAAAGAGAAACGATTCCCAGGTAAGTCTGTCGCAGACCAATAATTTTGCAAACAGCGAGAGTAAAAAACAAAATAATCTATATTTAAAATAAGGGAAATACAAGATTCCCAAAAAAACACGTGGCGGAAAAAAATAGCTGTGGAACATATTAATTTTTGACTTGAAAAGAAACAAATGGTGCATATAATAAGCAAATGGATAAATCTGTGAAAGAATTTAAAAATCTTATTGAGTGCAAAACGTTATAAATACATATATAAATAAAAACGTAAACAAATATTTTGTGAAGCAGCAGCAGATGGCAAATAGAAGCAGCAGCAGATGGCCGGCCGCTTACCAGATACGCGGCGATTCCGCCGTGGGACGGCACAGCAAAGAGAGCTGTACCGTAAGAGAGCGAGCGCCCCAAAGAAAGGACATAACGGTATCGGGCAAAAAGGAAGGCGCGCAACCGAGGTTTCATGTATGGGGAGCCTGGCGACGGTCGAGCATTACAAGTCAGGAAACCAAGATGAGCACACGCGTCACCTGTCCAAAGCGGCTGAAGGATTCGCTGCAAAACTAGCCCCGAGGTACAATGGCCCTTACCAGGTTGTAGATTTCGTCTCTCCAGTGATCTGTAAAATTCGCCACACACAGTCGAAGAAAGAAAGGACAGTTCACTTTGGCGAGCTCCAGCAACAACAAAACGAGCAGACAGCAGGAACGTCAGATTGTCTAACGACAGGTACGAGGCGACAGGATAAGGCGTCAGGCCGAAGCGAGAGTCATCCATACGCCACACGGAAAGGACAATCAGGATAGCACAAGGACATGGATAAGGATTTCACGTTAATCCAGACTGCGAGGCCAAAGGATTATGCGTCAGGCCGAAGCGAGAGTCATCCAAACGCCATAAATATAGGTCACAAGGACGGGGATAAGGGTGGATGGTGATCCCGACCGCAAGGCAACAGGATTCTGCGTCGGGCAGTTGCCAGAGTCATCCGCGATTATGCCAGGCGGAAGGGACACTTAGAAAACGGCACATGGATACGGGCAACGTGTAGGGATCCAACCGCAAGGCAACAGGATTCAGCGTCGGGCAGTTGCCAGAGTCATCCGCGATTACGCCAGACGGAAGGGACACTTACAAAACAGCACAAGGATACGGGTAACATATGGGGATCCACCCACAAGGCAACAGGATTCAGCGTCGGGCAGTTGCCAGAGTCATCCGCGAATACGACAGGCGGAAGGGACACTTACAAAACATCACAAGGATACGGGTAACATGTAGGGCTCCACCCGCAAGGCAACAGGATTCAGCGTCGGGCAGTTGCCAGAGTCATCTGCGATAACGCCAGGCGGAAGGGACACTTACAAAACGGCACAAGGATACGGGTAACGTGTAGGGATCCACCCGCAAGGCAACAGGATTCAGCGTCGGGCATTTGCCAGAGTCATCCGTGGTTAGGCCAGGCGGGAAGGACACGGACAAGGTCGACAATAACACTAGCAAAAGCAAATCACTTCAACAAGGATACCCCAACAATACCCTAAGTGTTCCCAAAGGACACCCTAGGGATAGCCCAACGATACCCAAAGGATACCCGAAGGACACCCCAACAATACCCCTAAGGATACCCGAAGGATACCTAAAGGACAACCGAAGGATACCCTAGGAATAGAAAAACGATACCCCAAGGATACCCCAATAGTACTCGAAAGACACCCCAAGGATACCCCAATAGTACTCGAAGGACACCTCAAGGATACCACAATAATGCCCCAAGGATACCACCCAGGAACGCCCCGAAGCAAGGTGTAGGCCCAAGAACAACTTCCAAGGATACTCACCAAGGGTGATCAAGGTAGGGTCTCAAGCAAGTTGGTTACGGAACCGGGAGGTACAACGAACCGCAGCATCCAGAGTGCCACGGTGATCTGAGGGAGTACAACTTGTGGTTTACAAAGAAAGGGGGAAGACGGCACAGCAAAGAGAGCTGTACCGTAAGAGAGCAAGCGCCCCAAAGAAAGGACATAACGGTATCGGGCAAAAGGAAGGCGCGCAACCGAGGTTTCATGTATAGGGAGCCTGGCGACGGTCGAGCATTACAATTCAGGAAACCAAGATGAGCACACGCGTCAACAGATCCGAAGCGCGCAGGAGGATGGCGGCCCTACAGGAAACTCGCCCGGGGCAAGGATGGTCGGAGACCCGGCCTACCGGAGCTCCGCGGCGGGCCCTGGAGCGGACCCGCGACGAGGACTCCGAACCAGAACCCGCGGTGAGCTCCGACAGCGACGTGGAGGTGGTCGGCGATCCCGTCGGGCCACCGAAGAGACTGGGAGCCGTCGGACGAGGAGCAGCAGCGGTCGACGGAGGAGGAGGCGCGATGGCAGATCCGGCTGAAGCAGGACCACGAAGCGGCGGCGGCGCGATGGCATGCCCGTCTGCGAGAGGCGGAGGAAGAGGAGCGACGTCTGTGGGAGGCACCGGTGGAGGACTCATGGGAAGTTCCACTCACCCCCAGATACGCGGCCGAGGAGCCCAGTCCGAGGAGCGAGGATGGGGACGAGCCATGCGTGCCATCCCCCCGCGGTGGCTGCCGGAGGTGCCACCCACTCCCCGCTACGAGGGGGGGTGGCTCACGAACGAAGCCCGAGACAGCGACGGAGGAGCCCCGTTGGCCACGCCGCCGTGGAGGCCGGCCCAGCCACCTACGCCGCGATACACCGAGCCACACCCACCGGAGGCGCAACCGCAATCCGAGGAATCGACCGCGCAACCGATACCACAACCGCACGAGGAGGCGGTGCACCAGGCACAGGCGGAGGAGCAGACGGTGGTGCGGACGCGCACGTAAGCCACAGCACGCGGGCAATGTGGCCAAGGGGGTTCGGTGGCGGCAGCAGACGTGGCCCGAGGGGCCCGCGACGGTACCGACGAGGGAGGAGCCCAGGATATGGGAGGAGAGATACCCAAGGTGAATCCTCGGGATCCCCGGACGAGAGGCCGGCAGGATTCGTGGGTCCCGCCGACACCGAGCAAGGGCCCGCCAACACCGACGGGGGAGGCGGAATCGCTGGAGAAGGGACCTTGGGTGTGGCCCGAGCCACTAGGGATGCAAAAACATCGATGTCACTATCGATACTATCGATGTTTTTTAAAACAGCGATGTATCGATGCTTTTTTTCGAACATCGATGTTATCACTAAGAGATACACACGCAAAGCAAGTGGTACGTAAATTGGGAAAAAGTGCACATTTTTCCATTTTATTAAGTATTGTTACAGTTTGATACAGGTAAAACATATTAGGGCGGTTCCTCTCGGCACAATGGACAGGTTTCTGCACATAACAAGTAAGTTCCAGTCGCAGCAGTTGTTATTTCATAATTTTAACACTGTATTGCGTTTTAGACCACGTGTCTGCTGCTTCGTCGTCTGCTCCAACGTCTGCTGCTTCGTCGTCTGCTCCAACGTCTGCTCCAACGTCTGCTGCTTCGTCGTCTGCTCCAACGTCTGCTGCTTCGTCGTCTGCTCCAACATGTGCTGCTTCGTCGTCTACTCCAACGTCTGCTGCTTCGTGGTCTGCTCCTTCTACGTCTGCTGCTTCTACGTCTGCTCCTTCTACGTCTGCTGCTTCGTTGTCTGCTTCTTCTACGTCTGCTGCTTGGTCCTCTGCTGCTTCGTCCTCAGCTCCTGCGTGTGCTGCTATTTTGGAAAATGATGATTTGGAATTTGGCTTTGAGCCCCCAGATTGTAGAAAACGCAAGAAAACCGGATCAGATGTATGGAAATATTTTGAGAGGTGCAAGAACAAAATGTTTGCCAAATGTCGGTTTTGCGGAAAGGAGTATAAAACTTCCGGCAATACAACAAATTTATCCGATCATCTAAGGCGCCTTCATCCATTGAAAGTATCAGTAAGTACAGAAAACGCAATGAAAATGGACAATTTTGTTTTACGATCTGATGCGTACGACCCAAAATCATCCAGAAAGATTGAACTTGATAAATGTCTCGCTAAAATGGTGTCGTCAGATATTCAGCCGTTCAGCATAGTAGACGACAATGGGTTTAAAAATTTTATAAAATTACTCGATCCAAAGTACATTTTGCCCAGCCGTACTACATTGCAGAATGTGGTCACAAAAAATCTTTATGAAGAAGCGCTATCCAAATTAAAGGGTAAGCTGAGTACGGTCCAATATTGCTCATTAACAACGGATTGTTGGACGTCTCGTTCAAACGCCAGTTACCTAACGTTGACGTGCCACTTTATTGAAAATTTCGAGCTAAAAACGGTTGTTCTAGCCACACAGCCGTTATTAGACCAAACCAATCACTGCAGTGACAATATTGCAGGAACTATAAAAGCAATTTGCATGGACTTTGACATTTTTAATAAAGTGGTAACTATTGTAACGGACAACGCAGCTTCTATGAAAAAGGCCTGTGAGAATTTGCAAAAAAAGCACCTGGGTTGTTTTGCCCATTCATTAAATTTAATTGTTCAAAGCACGCTTGCCCTAAATGATGTGCAAGATGTTTTAAAAAGCGTTAAGAGCATTGTCACTTATTTTAAAAGCAGTGCGATTGCGTATGCCAAACTAAGAGCTGCACAAGGCGTTGAAAAGCCGTTAAACCTAATACAGGAAGTGCCTACTCGTTGGAATAGTGCATTCTATATGCTAAAGAGAATTTTACTCGTTCGAGAGGCAGTTTGCGGAGTTTTACTAAAATCTTTGAAGGCGCCACTACCGTTAAGTGAGGAACAATTTTCTATCATTCAAGACATCTGCACCGTTTTAGAGCCATTTGAAACGGCAACAGTGAATACGTCAGCTGCCAAAAAAGTAACGGTATCCTTAATAATACCCACAGTGCAGGGCCTTTTAATTCAAATGGATACGCTTAAGCCGCAAATGAAGACGAGTGTAGGGGCTGACACTTGCTTGTTTTTAACAAATCAGTTGAGAAGCAGACTTTACCCCTATGAATCTAGAACTGCTACGAGGATGACAACGATTCTCGATCCAAGATTTAAAAAGGAAGGATTTTACAATCCGATGAATGCAGAACAAGCAGTAGCAGCGTTGGAAAATGACTTGACTTTCGTCTTCAAAGATGTGCAGAACCAATGTCCAAATGAGGAACCGGCCGCCGAGAAAACACACCCCTCTGATTTGTACGGATTTATGGCCGAAAAAGTCAAAAATAAGCCAAGAACTTGGAGATCCGATGCAATAATCGAAATGCGGCAATATTTCGAGCAACAGAATGCGCATCAGAAAATAGATCCGCTCGAATACTGGAGGGTAAATTTTTTAATATTTTACATTTCTTCTTGAATAACCCTATTTTCTTACAGGTTAATGAAGTTCAATTCAGCAATCTTGCGCAGTGCGCGTTAAAATATTTATGTATACCTGCGACATCTACTGACTCGGAAAGGACTTTCAGCAAGGCAGGACAAATCGCGGACGAAAAGAGATCTCGACTTAAACCTAAAACTTTGAACATGCTGTTGTTTTTACAGAAAAACCAGTGGATTATTAGTTAAGATATAGATATCGATTAGATAAGTAAGATAAGTAAGAACTGAACTGAACTGAACTGAACTGAACTGAAGTGAACTGAACTGAAATAATGTGATTCCATTTTTCTTTATGATTTCGTTAAAATATGTATTAAGATTATGCTTTTTTATTTGTTTCTGAAAATATTGTTGTTGTTTTGTTTGAATAAATATAAGTTTATAATAAGTTTCATAAAAACAATATTTTAATTAATATTTGGAGGGTTTTATGGTATATATTCATAAATTGAAGAAAATTTCGATGTTTTTAGCGAAATTTCGAGGTTTTAGCAAAATTTCGATGTTTTCGCGAAATTTCGATGTTTTAGCGATATATCGATGCTTACAAACATCGATGTTGAAAACATCGATGTACTCACTATCGATGTTTTTGCATCCCTACGAGCCACCGGCCACCCAAAGACCTCCGTTGTAGCGGCAAACTTCGACGCCCGGAGCGACGCGCCCGCGGCCGCAGTTCATGCGGCAGGTAGCGAATGGCCGGAGGGAATCGAGGAGGCACTAGAGGTGTCAAAACATCGATGAAAACATCAATGCATCGATGTTTTTGAAATTTTCTAAATCATCGATGTTTTTTTTCAACCATTGATTTTTCTGTGCCGTCACTATTAAGAAAAAAGGCAAAGGAAAGGTACGTAAAAGAGCAGATTTTTTTTCATTTTTTCTATTATAACAGTAAAGTTTTTCTTTTGCGTATGCAATTATGCGTATGTATATTTTGTGCATAAGTGAAGATACACTTACAGTTATTGGTGTTTATTTAAAACACACATGTTAAATGCAACTTAAATCATTGCAAATTACTAAAAGCAAAACCAACAAAAACCAAAATTAAAAACAATAAGAAAAAAGCAAAAACATTAACATTAACGTAAAATTATGTGTGTAGTGTGTCTGTGTGCGTGCCCGCTGTTGGTTTTCGGCGATCGCCAACGGTTTTTTAAGTGCAATTTGGTCAAACTTTAAAAATTTCTCCTGGCTAAACTAAGCGCGTCCCCAAAATAATTTTTACATACAAATTCATGATTCATCGCCCTCTAAATATGGATTTTTGTTAATTAGTCGGGTCGTTCCGGTCCGACTATTTAAGAATTACCAAAATTTTTTAAAACATCGATGAAACATCGATGGGTGAAAAACATCGAAAACATCGATGTCTCAATACATCGATGTTTTGACACCTCTAGGAGGCACCAGCGGTCGCGACGGCACGGCGGAAGGGCGGCAGGCGTTGCGTCCTGGTCAGCGAAGGCGGACGAATATGGAGTCAGATGCAAATGCAAAAAAAAAACTTACCTATGAAAGTTGCAAAATCACCACGAGCAAGGGAAGGGGGCGCCTCGATAGGCGATCGATTGGCACTGGACGATAGTGCGATCGATGGGCACACGAAAATGGAAATATCGGCCGAGGTGGAAATATCGCAACGAGTAGGTGGCAACGCCGCACCGTCGGTATCGATAGTCACAGAAACATCGATCACGCACGGATGGTGTGACCACGCGGAGAAACCGCGGAAAGGAGAGGGACGCAGTAATGAGCACCGAGCTGGGGATCGATAGCCCATGAGTATCGATGTCCCAGCGGAAACATGGAAGATATCGGCGCGGGACATTTCAATTTGATACGAGGAGGATGAACAGCGCTGTAGAAACTCAAGGGAGTTAAGAGCGTCGAGGGAGCAACGAGGAAGCGCCGCGGGAATCACAAGGACTCGAAGGCTAGGACATGCAAGGAAACGCTGGAGAGTAGGATCAAGTTTTAAATGTTTCCCGAAGTAAGGGGGGAATGTGAGGAACTGAATAACTCCCCACAAATAGAAGCAGCAGCAGATGGCCGACCGCTTACCAGATACGCGGCGAAATCGCGTAGTAACGGCGCGGCGAGGAGTGTTTGGAGATTTGGATGGAGAACGAGAGAGTTTGGAGACTTGGATGGAGAACAAGAGAGTTGGGAGACCAAGGATGGAGATCGAGAGAGTTTGGAGACCATGTACGGAGAGCGAGAGAGGTGACCAAGCACGGAGAACGGGAGAGAATGGAGACTTCGCGGGCAAGGCAAGAGTGCGGCAGTGGAGCGGCACACAGGCGTGCCACAAGCATCACGGGAATCAGAGGGATGGCAGCAGTGGGCGGAGCATCGATTGGACAAGTGGGTCAACCAGGAGTCACGGACCTTGGACCCGGAGTGGAGAGATCCAGCGGACCTTGCGCAAAAGGAAAGTAACGGTTCCCGGAGGCCCTATACAAGGCCGCAGAGCGCTGGCAGCTGGATCAGTCGATCACGAGGAGTCAAACCTTCAAGATCAGTTCAAGTACCAAGTAAAAAGTCAGTCAAGCAAGTAGTCTACGAGGGAGCCACAAGCAAGCGAGTCGTCGGAAGCAGCGCCGTGGGAAGAACACAAGGAGCAAGATCGCCACGTCGAGACGTTCGGGATTGGGACATCAGGAATCTCCTAATTGAGACACAAGTGGCTGAGTTCTGGAAGGCATCACGCGGCTAAGTCAAGGCGTTTGTTTTCCAACTTTGTCACGACCACACCCTGGCGAGTCGCCCAGCGGGTCTGTCAGAGACAAGCAAAAGAGTCCTACGTCGAAGAACCGTCAGCTTAGGGAGGAAAGTTGTCTGCGACCCAGCGTACCAGCGGTAGATCGTTTTGCGGTTTCAAGAGGCGGCCGCCTGGAGAGCCCTGCGATTACCGGCAATGTTCCCGAACAGCAACCGCCCAACTCCCCGAGTGCCAGAACGACGAGACACTGGTCAGACGACAGCGCAGAAGACATCGACAGCGACGCCAGCAGACATTTCCGGCAGCCACGTTACCATCGCCGCGCGGAGCTCATTGGGGAGCGTTGCGGACGTCACGCATTAGGGTGAAGCCGGGTTGAACGTTCGTCTGCGCTAGGCGTAAAGCAAAGTGAACTGCTAGACAGCTTCCTGGCGGCAGCCTTGACTGTCAGCGCGATCTGAGCAAGAACCTAGCGGGACCGTCCGGGACAGAGCAAGGGACAGGTATTGCCTCGAAAGCAAGGCTTGGAGAGCAAGGCTTGTTCACCCTAGTCTGAGAACGGTGACGCTTCCCTAAGCCCACAAGGCCGAACTCTCTGCGAGTCTAAGGCGCAACAAGCGACCCCGAGGCAGCGCGTCGGCAAGCAAGCAAAGGCGGCCACTACGAGCGTCCCGAAACCCAGGAGCCAGCGGAAGCCGAGTCAACGCGTAGAGGAGCCAGAAAGAGGAGCGCCAGCAGCCGGCGGAACCAGAGGCAGGAGATACCGAAGTCAGCCCAGCCACACACCCGCTGTACTAATACCACAAGAATAAATCCCACTGTTACCATTTGAACCCTTTGTTTTCTCACTGATCTTTGGGGCAGTCACGTCATATAAATTTGGTGGGACGAACACACAATCTTCTGAGCTAGCCGCACGAATCTCGTAGCGAGCAGACACAAAATCAGTTCGTTACAATTTATACGTTACGTTTTTTTCAAGTTTTCATTAGTTATACAATTTTTTGTTTTGAGCAATTCACTGATTGCGATTCCAATATCTCATTATTAGATTATAAATATTTATTATAACTATAGTATTATTATTTTTTATTCATAAATATAACAAGAAAGGAAGTTAGCTTCGGCAAGCCGAAGTTTGTATACCCTTGCAGTTTTAAGAAATAATCAATGTTTGTAACAACATTTTTAAGGATTGTTGCTAGCTTCAGTGAAATTTGGATAAAATTAAATTCGTAATGCTGAAAAGTTAAAATATTCTAAAAGAAAATATGATCAAAATCAACAAAGCACAATTTTTTAAAAATTGTTATTTAACTATTTCTCTGACCGTTTCTTTAACAGATATATGTTAGAGTCGTCCTATTTTTATTAAATTTAATTCGAAATTCCTAAAAATACAAAAAAAAAGATATTCTTAACAGTGTAAGATAATATGTCAAAGACACCGAAGCTATGATTTGTTTCATATTATTTTCCCACCAATTTTCCGATCGTTCCTCTGGCAGCTATGTGATATAGTCGTCCGATTTTGATAAAACTAAATTCGAAATTCAGAACTAACTAAAAAATGTTCTTTCCAAGCATTGGAGGTTATATGTTAAAAAAAACACGAAAGATATAGTTTTTTAATTTTTTTCCGATTATTCCAATGGGAGCTGTAAGATATAGTGGTCCGATCCTGCTGGTTCCGACTTATATAGTACCTGCTAAAGAAAGAAGACTTTTGGGAAAGTTTCAGCCCGAAAGCTTTAAAACTGAGAGACTAGTTTGCGTAGAAACGGACGGACAGACGGACATGGCTCGTCTAGTGATGCTGATCAAGAATATATGTACTTTATGGGGTCGGAAACGTCTCTTTCACTGCGTTGAAACTTCTGACTGTAATCATAATACCGTCTGCAAGGGTATAAAAAGATTACTGAAAGCAATGAAAAAAAGAAAGAAAGTTAGCTACGGCAAGCCGAAGCTTATATACCCTTGCAACTATAATTATTAAATTTAAAAACACAAAAAATTATATTCCCAATAGTATAAGATAATATGTCAAAAACACCGAAGCTATAATTTGTTCCTATGGCAGCTATATGATATAGTCTTCCGATTTTGATAAAATTTAATTCGAAATTCAAAACTAATTAAAAAAGGTTATTTCCTAGCTTAGGAGGTTACATGCTAAAAAACACCAAAGATATAATTTTTTTAAATTTGTTTTTCCTATTATTCCTATGGGAGCTATAAGATATAGTTGTCCGATCCGGCTGGTTCCGACTTATATACTACCTGCAAAAGATATAAGACAGACGGACACGGCTAGATCGACTCGTCTAGTCATGCTGATCAAGAATATATATACTTTATGGGGTCGGAAACGTCTCCTTCACTGCGTTGCAAACTTCTGACTGAAATCAATATACCCTCTGCAAGGGTATAATGAATTGTTTGTAGTTTAAACTTCGCATTTTCTATTTAATGTGTTTTTTTAACTTTTTAAGACTTGCGTACAAAATTGGAGAAGTACAACCTGATGAATAAAATGTTTATTTTCAACGACATGCTTCTTTTATTTTGTAAGCGGGTGTAAAAAGTTATAAAATCATTACATAAATATATATTTTTGTATTTTCAGGGCTTAAAATTGTTGGAGATAGGCAAATGCGTAGGTTAGTCAAAATAGAGCAGGAAAAATTAAAACAGCAGATGAGAATTTCTACAGGAGTTACAAGAATTGAGAATAGTGTAGAAAGAGTAGAAGAAGTTGGAATTGCAATGGAAGTAGATGATTCGAATACAGGGCTTGATAATATTATAGTTGAAGAGGTTAATCATTTACATTCGCAGGAAATGTTAGATAGGGAAATGGCAGATGTTGGTAGTGACCTTGATTTGAATGCCGAATTAAAAAAAAGGTATTCAAAGCATAAGCCAACAAGATATTGTGCAATTGATTTGATTACACTTCTTAATAAGCATAATTTAAAAATAAAGCCATTTTATAAATCTAATGGCTCTAATAAGCCCGATATAATGCAAATAAATATGAGCTCCTATTTGCATATCGGCTTAACAAAGCAACTAAATAAAATAGATGTCTTAAAAGATATTCCGGATTTTTTAGCATTGATGTAAATATTGACGGACTCCCGTTGGGCCCAATTGTGGCCCATTTTAATTAGATTGAATAATATTAAAAATTTCCCTGTTTTGCCAAAAGGAGTTTTTTTGGGGTATAATATAACCCTTGATTACTATATCACTATATGATCACTATATTAAATAAAAACGTTTTTGTAGAGTTTAGAGCAATTATTTGTGATGCACTTGCAAGAGCTTACGTGACAGGCACGCCTGGTCATACATCCAGCCATGGATGTACAAATTGCTTGCAGGTAGTCAAAAAAATTAATTATGTTTTAACGTACAGTACAAAGTGTGATGATCCCATTTCATACGAAGATTTCGTGCTAGAAAGTATCCTAGCCATCACACTTCAAAATATTTAAATGTTCAGTCCGCTTTTGAAAAGCTTGGCGTTTTAATGGTAACACAAGTTCCCCTTGATTGCATGCATCAGGTAGAACTGGGTGTCATGCGAAAGTTTTTACAAAGACTTTATAATAACAAAGTTGTCGAAAAATTGACAAAAATTGAAAAGGAAACTATTTCGAAATCGTTAACATCAATGAGTAAGTATATGTCAAAAGAGTTTGCACGCAAGCCGAGAACATTGTTAGAGCTCCTACGCTGGAAAGCCACAGAGTATAGACAGTTTTTATTGTATAATGGGATTGTAGCTCTTAAAGATACAGTCAGGAAAGAGCCTTATTATGCATTTTTATACCCGTTACTCGTAGAGTAAAAGGGTATACTAGATTCGTCGAAAAGTATGTAACAGGCAGAAGGAAGCGTTTCCGACCCCATAAAGTATATATATTCTTGACCAGGATCACTAGCCGAGTCGATCTAGCCATGTCCGTCTGTCCGTCCGTCCGTCTGTCTGTCCGTCCGGATAAATGCTGAGAGCTAGGCTATTGAGCTAGGCTATTGAGAATTGGCGTGGAGATTCCTGAGCTTCTTACGCAGCGCAAGTTTGATTCAGCAGAGTGCCACGCCCACTCTTACGCCCACAAACCGCCCAAAACTGTGGCTCCTACAGTTTTGATGCTAGAAAAAAAATGTTAACTGAAATGTGCTGTTCTCATCAATACCTATCGATCGAAGTTTGCCACGAACACTATAACGCCCATAACGCTTAAATCTGTCTACCGCCGGTGGGTGGCGCATTTTAATCTCGCTTTGCTGCTATCTCCATTTCCCATGGTCACTTTAGCTGAGTAACGGGTATCTGATAGTCGAGGTACTCGACTATAGCGTTCTTCCTTGTTTTTATTATTTTCTTATATTTTTAGACAAAGCTTATGGTAACGCTTCTTAAAAATGGAAGGCTGAGCCGTTCCATACTAAACGTGCATTCAGAGAACTTGTTCTGTCTCACAATTTGGAGGGGGGCCAGAACAAGAAGAAGCTCAAAGTTTAGCCAAATTTCGTACGCGCCTTGTTAAGTAAGCTTTTATTGGGGCCGAAAGAAACTATTGTTTGTAAGTTTAATTTTTAAAAGACTTCTGGGATTTTTACATTGAATGCCAAAGATAACATATCTTTTATTGTAAATAAAAGTTACAAATAACGATTACTTTCGGTCACTCGTTTTTATTCTCGTCTCGTTCTATTTTCAAAACTAATTTTTCTTCCAATACTAGATGCAATCGCTCTGGTGAAGCCCTCAGAACCTCCCGAAAAGGCACTGCAAAAGGCAATGAGGTGCGTTAAAAACTTAAGTGGCACAAAAAAAAGGCAACGCCGGCCCCAGATGCTGAAGAGCCAACGACCCCGATAACACCGGGAACCCCCGAGCTAAAATTTTAAAACAAATAAATAAAAATAAAAAAATTACAACCAAAATTATATTTGCTGCTAAGCGCTCAATGTGTGCTGAATGTGTGCTTTTTCCGCTGCTTAATCGAGCGCTCAACATGTGCTGAACGTGTGCTTTTTCTGCTGCTCAGAGCATTTTGCAGTGATTGAGTGCTCAACAAGCGCTGAATGGTACTGCAGGGAATATACAAAAGTCACTTGGATAATTGTGCACGCATACATTCATGTTTGTATGATTTTTTTTATTGCCGAAACTCGAAAATGGCGGAGTCTTACAGAAGCGGGACTATTGAAAAAGAAGAAGAGAAGAACTCGAAGTATGTTTTTCTTATTACACTTGGAAATCACTTGGCACCAAAAATTTGGTGGTTGTTTTCATACACATGTGTAAAGTGTTACGTGTACGACGCACTATGGGGAACTGGACCACTTCTTTTGGCCAAAACCCATTTTTTAAAAGTCGTTAAAAACTGGTGTTTTTATCAGAATGAGCACAATTGTTAAGTTATCACGAGGTGGCTGCGCTGATAAATCACCTAATATTCTTAATAGTTTAAATTGTCAAAAAGTGTAAAACTGAACAAAGCACTGCAAATACCATCCAATCAGAGGGGCTAGTAACTTGTGTTAGTGACCTTGATATTGTGTTTATTGATTGTGGTGTTCGTATATAAGTGTGTAAGTTCTAACCTCAAAAAAAAAAACAAATTGTGAAGATAATTTTAATTTTTAAAAAGAGCTACAAAGTGATTCCAACTGTTTCCACCTCAAAACCTTTTTTTGTACAGTATTCAATTCTCATTAAGCTCAGTCAGTACAAAAGTGCACCTTTGCGTACTTTCTTCTCATCCAAGTACTGTATTTGTCCCACATTTTTGTCTGTTAAATGCCAGCTTCGATGGTATCTTAAAAAACAGTGTGCAATTATCTTTGTTATCAAATAAAGATTGTTTTAAAATTATTTTGCAACATTACTTAACGTTGATTTAAAGGATTTTATTTTTTTTTTTAAGAAAAAATAACAATTTTACAAAATTTTTTTTTGTATTATTTGGTAATAAAAAAAATTTTCTTTTTTAAGGAGGCTGAATAACGCTTATAAATTGTATATATTTAACTCAAAAAACAAAACTTGTAAGTGTTGCTTCGTTTTTAAGTTATTAATTAATGCCACAAAAAGTGGTCAAATTCCCCATAGTGCGACGCTCTAATGCAGTTCTTTGATATACACACACATATATATGTATGTATGTATTCTGTTGCATCATCCTTTTAATTCGTGATCTCAAAATTACTCACATTTACAAATAAATATTTGTCTACATATGTTCTTACTTTGTTCTGCCACAACTCCAGTTTTTTTAAGAACTTTATAGTTTGACCGACCATTTATACTGGAATTTCTCCTCTGAGGTGCTCCCAATTCAAATATTTTAATGTCTGAACGCTAAACTTTCTTTCTATTATAAATAAATTTATTGACTTATCACAAACAACTTACAATTTATTATATATACACCCAAAAAAAAAATCGCCCTTAATTCAAGAAATTCGCCGTTAAATCAAGAAAATCGCCTATGATTTTGATCCAACGGCGACATGCCTTTATTTCAAGTAAAAAATTTTCTTGAATTTATGAAAGCACTTTCTGGAAATAACTACAAATTTTTCTTAAAATCACGGCAAAATACCTTATAAGTTGGAACCAGTTTCTAGAATTAAGAAAACTTTTCTAAAAACTATGGCTTTTTTTTTTTAAAAACAAGTACTACTTTTTAATCTTTAGGGATTTTATTTCTTTAAATATGGATTGTTTTTCTATATATTACGGTCTTTTTTCGTAAATCAAGAAATTTGTTCCTTTATTTAGAGGCTATTTTTTCTATTTTGAATAACCAATTTTTTCGTAAATCAAGAAATTTGTTTCTATATTTAAAGGCAATTTTTTCTAATTTGAATAACCAATTTTATTAAAAATTACAGCGTTTTTTCGTAAATCAATGAACCCATTTTCTTTATTTAAAGGCCTATTTTTTAATACTAAGAACTAATTTTATTGAAAATGAAATTTTGGTATATAGTTCATTTGTTACATAGGTAATACGTTTCTTAACATTACATTTTAAATATATATACTCATTCTTAAAAATAAAACTTAGGTTTTAAAAACATATCTTTTCCACACTTATGATATTCAATAGGGGGATACTCTAAGTCACTTAATTAAATTAGCTTCATTTCGGGGTTATTAGTATCTACCTTTTTAAAAAATGTAAGGTGTTCAGAATATTCGGTTCTTAGAATAATACATAAAAAATATACAACGCCATTTTGTGCGACAATTTCTTTAATTTCGTATGCCATTAAGTTAGGTTTAGATTTATAGACAATAAAGTTTTTTTGTACAGTATATTTTTATATTTTACAAAGGAGTAGGAAAGTGTGTTATCGAGATTTGATAAGCAAGTTCGTAAATTGTTCATTAAAAATGGAATTGATTGATAAACATGATGTTTTACTAAAAACTATTTGATTTTTATCGAAGTTCTGAAGCCAGTGAGCAAAATGAACACTTAATTTGGTACCTAAAGATAATAAAACGTTTCGTCTTGATGAAATATTTTTAACGTATGATTTTAAACTCTTATGTTTTGCCTCATATGGAAATGTCCATAAATACTTGAAGGGGCCTGACTCTTGAACTACACGGTAATAATGGTTTAGGAAATGGTGCTTAGGTTTCAAGCTATCTTTAAACAAATTTACATATATGTATGTACTCACCAGAAAATACTTCAAGGAATGCTTTACCTCCCAATTTTTTTTACCACTGTCTCTATTTTCAATTGCACTTTTCAACAAACAAAATGGTTAACAAATACGTCTTTACCAGCCAAGCGTCCGAAAAATTATAAAAATGCAATGTAGGACTTCCATAAGGTCAGATGAGCCATTCACTGCAAAAAGTTCATCACAGAGCCAATAAGGGCACAATTTGTATGAAATTTGTATCAGTGCTCAAAAACTAGCACGCATTGAGCGCTTTTTCGAGCACCCGTTCAGCACACATTGAGCGCTCGTTGCACATGTTGTGCACCTTTTCATCGCGTAGCAGTAAATATATTTACAGTTTTATTTAATTTCTATATTTATACCCGTTACTCGTAAAAGGGTATACTAGTTTCGTCGGAAAGTATGTAACAGGCAGAAGGAAGCGATTCCGACCCCATAAAGTATATATATTCTTTATCAGGATCACTAGCCGAGTCGATCTAGCCATGTCCGTCTGCCCGTCTGTCTGTCCGGATGAACGCTGAGATCTCGGAAACTATGGGAGCTAGGCTATTGAGATTTGGCGTGCAGATTCCTAAGCTTCTTACGCAGCGCAAGTTTGTTTCAGTAGAGTGCCACGCCCACTCTAACGCCCACAAACCGCCCAAAACTGTGGCTCCTACAGTTTTGATGCTAGAATAAAAATTTTAACTGAAATGTAATGATCTCATCAATACCTATCGATTGACCCAGAAAAAGGTTTGCCACGCCCACCCTAACGCCCATAAAACGACCACAAACTTCAAAAAATCGTAAATATGAACGTGGATATCTCGGAAACTATCAAAGATAGAGAATTGGGATTTCAGATTTAGATTCCGATTTGGGCAGTTTGTGGGCGTTGGAGTGGGCGTGGCACCCTGAAGAATCTCAGCAATCTGCATGCCTAATCCCAGTATTGTAGCTCTTAAGTTTCCGAGATCTCAACATTCATACGGACAGACGGACATGGACACAAAAATTAAGAAAAATATTATACATACCGCTCGTGTTTAGTCAAAGGCGTTTTGGGGCACTCATTTTAACACTTTCAAAAAATAATATATTATTTCATTATATAAAATATAATATAATATTTCTTTATACAGAAATAAAATTAAAAATAATAAAACAAATAAGAAATAAATAAAAATAAAACAAACAATAAAATAATGTTTATGATAAAAGAAAAATAAGAATATAAACAAAATATAACTAAAATAAGAAGTAAATACATATTTTTTTTTTGTCTTTCGAACCGGGTAGGTGAATCTTCAAAATATATAAAGATCGCTGCCGCTGTTATATGCCCGATTTTTTAAAACGCCTACAGACTAAACACCTCCCATTTTAAAAGAAAAAAAAACATTAAACCTATGAAAAATGAAACATGGGAATTAATACTATACTATTTTTTAGAGGAATTCCTACGGCTTTTTTACTATACTCTGAAACTGGAAAACTTTCTGAATTTGAATCCTCCTCAAAAATTCCTTCACAATTCCTCATCATAAAAACTAAAAAGCACTGAAAATGTTCTACCTAAAATAAATATTTCTCCTTCCTCTTCTATAAAGGATTCCACTTTAATTGGAACTATTTCCTGTACAAACCAAAAATTATCGGATCAACTCCCGCTCAATATGCAATTTACCATTTTTAATCTTTTTTCTTTTATTTTAATCTGCGGCCCTTATTTTATTTATCAGGCGTCCTCGTAAGTTTTTATATACATTTGAGCCAGAATTTGTGTCGGTTTTCGGACAAAACGCTTAAGAGCTTGCAAATAATTTTCAAATGCGTAGGACGAACGACTGATCGAATCTCCGACTACTATGATCGTTTCGCATACATGTAGCATGCCGTGAACATTATACGAAATACTGTTTTCGCCAAAAACAGATGGAAAATTGTCTACGAAAACATTTAACATTTCTTGGCTAATGATAACATTTCGTTGCCGTTGTTTTTCAGAGTATATGCACAATGTAATCACGAAAATGCATAATATTGCTCTTTCCTGACTGTATCTTTAAGAGCTACAATCCCAGTATACAACAAAAACTGTCTATACTCTGTGACTTTCCAGTTTGGGAGGTGTGTGTTCTCGGCCTGCGTGCAAACTCTTTTTGATTGATGCTAACGTTTTCGAAATAGTTTCC